AGGCCGCGCCGCCCCTCTCCCCAGATTCCCGCAGCCGGCTCGGCCCCCGGCGGCTCGGAGGTGTCCGGAGCCGTCCTGCCAGCGGGAGAGAATGGCAAGGCGGCGGCGCCGAATGCGGGGGGGATGCTGAGCCGTGCCCGGCCTGCCGCATCCCTCTGCCGCTTGCCCTCGCCCGGCCCCACCCGGTCCTACCCGGGCTGCCCGCATTTCTTTTGCGGCCCAAAATTCATTTGAAGCTGCCCGGCACCCCCCACCGTCTGTGCGCAGGATGCAGAACTGGGTGGGCGCTGGGCAATTCCCTGGCCTCCACAGGCGCAGTGAGAGTTAAGTGTAAACAAATCGTTTGAAATATCTGGAGTCCGTAAGTTAAGCGAAATAAAGGGGAAGCGCGGAGGAAACCTCTGCCAACAGGACCTGCTCTCAGCTGCAGTTTGGCCTACAGTGGGGGGTCCCACTCATCTTCCAGCTGGCCTGTCCTTGGAAACCAACCTCCTCTCTTTTTATTTCTTCCAGGGAAGAGGGACAGATGAGGCCTTTGGGTATCGACTGCAAACTTCCCGCCCCATCTCCAGTCTGGAGAGGGGACGATTATCAGCCAGAAGGATTATAGAGTATCATTGCGGGTCCCAAAAAATCAAGTACTTCTTATTACTTCTCTGATTTTAAAGACCGCTTTTCCCCCTCTCACTTAACTTTTATAGACAGGCTGAGAACCGCATGTCTGCATCAGGGCCGCCTGTTTCTCCACAGCTGTCCTAGAACCGGAACCCTTCCCCCTCTGACTCCTGTGACCTCTTGGCCACAGCTCTGGGAGCCTCACTCAGGATTCTCCAGAGTTCCTGGAGAGAGCAGCACAGAGCAGTGCAGCTCTCCCTCACCACTTTCACCAATCCCCTTATTCCCTGCCTTAAACGGAAGCCTTTCCAGTGCTCTCCCCTTTGTTCCTTTTCTGGACAAGAAGAACCACTGGGGCCGCCAGAATTTTGATCCCCTTGGGTAGAAGACACAAAATCCCTCCAAGGTCAAACATAGGAGTCACCCTCCTTGTCTCTGAATGAGGATTAACAAACTAAGTTCTGGGCACAGGTAGAAGACCAAAAGACCAAGGAGAATTCTTTCCTCTTTGAGATTGCATTACAAAATGCTCAGCCCCACCCACTTCTCCCCAAGCTCTGAGAGTCCTCCCTTCATTAGCATCCATAACTAAGGTGCAAAATGGAAAATGCTAAGTAAAGGCAGAGTCCACATCAACAGAGCCTGAGAAAATGGATTCTTACTTTACAAGCTGACAACTCCCAACCCTTAAACTCTTCCCACTTAATAGCTGAAGATAGCAAGTAGTCACAAGGCTACAGAAGCACACAGAGAATATGAATATAGGAAAAGTACAGGTGCGAGGGGCTGGCTTCCCAAACCCCAGTCTACAGTGTATTTGGAGAGAAGGAAAGAAAAAAAAATTGCCCTCCTAATATCTCCTTAACATAAGCCTTGTTGAAAATGTTTGCTTTGGCAAAAGTGAGATGGAGACGTTGAGACAGCATTCCCAGGAACAAAGGCTGGGGGTGGAGAGCTGAGGGTGGAGGAGAGAGCAAGAAGAACATCCCCTCTCTGGAAGAACAGCAAGTTCCAAGGCCTGACAAAGAAATGTGTCCCGTTCCTGTGCTCCTGGCTGCAGCTGGGAAGCTTCTCCAGAAAGGAGACCTCCCGGCCCTCACAGGGATCTGGCTTTCCTTCCCTTCCCACCACATCTGTTTATACAAAGGAGGGCGGCTGAAGAACAAACAGAGCCATGTTTACTGCAAGTCCCACGCCGGGCTTGAAGCTCAAGATGCAGAGTTGCCCTCACCGTGGAGGCTGAAGATTATAAATAGATGGTCCTAGGAAAGGAAAAGGGAGAAGGCACTGAGGGGTATAGAGGTGGTTGAGGGATTTACTCATAAAAGGCCTTTCCAAAAATGCCGTGTTGTAATGGACAGATTTGCATTTGAATTTAAACTCTGTTGCCTCATGATAATATATGCATGTACTTGCACCTAAGCACTTTCACTGTGCATATTTAAAAATGTTTGTTTAGGAACAGCTCTTATTTTTTGTGTGGGGCCTCTAATATAGGGATAGTTGTATGAATTCTTTATTTCTAGCTAAGATTTTCGGATATGGTGTCTACTTAGAAAACAGGGGCTTTTGAGGAGACCCAAATAATAGCTGTAGACTGATTTTTACTAAGCTGTCATGAAAATAGATTAATAGTTTTTCTAAGTAAAATGTAGAACAGTTAATGAGAGCTTTTATGGGCGATCTTTATTATTATTGTTATTGTTATTATTAATCTGTTTAAGGAAGCTGTTCCTATTATACTGCAGGCCCTGGTTACACAAACCAAAATGAGCACTAACATGATGCAATGGTATATTTCAAAACTATTAAGAAAAGAGTATAATTGTGATGGATCTGTTCATCAGTTCAATGTAAGCATTTCACATTGTATATCAAATCAGTACACTGAACCCCATAAATGCATCAGTGTACACAGTTATGACTTAATAAAAACAAAAATAAAGAAATTATAATAAAAAAATGAGCACTTAATCTAGTTGTCAAAATTTTAAATCCTTAATACAAAGTAAAAAAGGGGCTTGGACTTTTGGGGATTAGGATGTCAAAACTAAGGGGAAGGGGTTTTTTTTGTTTTAAGGAGTAAGAGACTACCTAAATTAAAAATAATAATGAAAAATGGTATTTCCTACGACGCTGTTGTAGCTTTTGTGCTTCCTATAGCCCTTGTGACCTAAGGGCCTTTTCTCCCCCATGTGGATGCGAGAAATAGCACTGAAAGCTGAATCAAACCACTGACTTCAGGAGAGGGCTGTTAGGGGGAGTAGGTAACGGGAAAGCAGGGAGCTGTTTGGCCTCCTATGTCAAGTTTGTTTGTTTGTGTAGGCTACATCTATGTAAAAAAAAAAGAAGAAGAAGAATCCTGCTCAGTCTGGGGGCCCTACTCACATTCTGCCAACCTGGGACTGGAAGCCTAAATAGACCCAGAAGCACATCTTTGGTGTCTAACTAAGATCTCTCTTTGGATATTAGTTGGTAGAAGGGAAACCTTACATAACTTCATTAATCCATGGCTTACTCTGAAGACACAGCTGCAACTCAGAGGTCACTTTGTGGCCAGGTGAGATGTTTTTCTCTCTTTATAATCCCACCATTCCCATAGCAAAATATGTCTGGCCAATAGCCAACTCTGCAGGTGGTCATGCTGGAAGATGATGAGCACGCTCTCCAGCTCCCCCAGCCCTGACTTCCCGTCCTCCAGCATTGTTTGTGAGGACACCATTCTCTCCTATTCCAGCAAAGCTGCAGATGCATCACTCCATCTGCTTCTCCTTCCAGAGGCTTCTTGGGGGTTTGTAACTGTATCTAGGGATTCAGCATAAACCCTCTAGGCCTTCTGCTTACAAATTGCATGCTAATATGTCACGCCCCAGGATAGCATGGAATTTTAATTCATCCAGGAGCTCTTCTGTCTTTAGGCCTTGTCCTTTCTCTCTACAGGTATCTCAGAGTAGTTCTAGCCTAGGATCCGAGGTGTCGTTCTTTTTCTATTTTTTTTCATCACTCACCAGGTCCCGAGCAGATGGTGTGGCTGTGCTGGCTGTCATCACTCCTCCTATGTTTCCATGGAAACATGGGGCATAGGGACCATCTCTGCCTTGGGCTCTGACGGTATCCTCTGGCGGAGAACTTCAGCACTTGTGCCCCTCCCCCTTGCCTGCCTAACCATCCTAGAGGGTTGCGGAATATTCTGGGGCCCTTGGAGCCAGGGTTATTTCAGAGGTCACCTAAGGACATACTCCCTGCAAATGGTTGTGAACTGGCTTGACAAGGGAAAGAGGGGACAAGAAAGGGGCCAACACCCCAACTGAGTGGTTGAGGCCCATTTGCAATGGCAGCATATTTGGGCAATCTGTCCCCTCAGCCAGCTTCCATAATGGCTCATTATTGCCCAGATGTCAAAAAGAGATGTTCTGAAAGTTCTGTCTGCTCATCAGGCAACAGATATTTATTGAGTGTAAGTAGTTGCTGAGGTTTTACACTTGGCTGACATTCTACCCCGGGAATGTGTGTTCCCTCTTCTTCTTCTTCTTCTTTTTTTTTTTTTTTTTTTTTTTTTTAGCAAAACCAGGTTTTCCCTAAGGAATGCACCTTTCTCAAAGTTTCCAACATCCTCCTGCCAACATAATTCACTTATACGGCCACCATGACATTAATTAGATTCAGAAGTCCTTGGAAACAGCAGAGCTAGGCAGGGTCAGAGGGCAAGCAGGGCAAAGAAGAGAGAGGGAAAAAACGAGTCCTGGGAGAGGGTAAGGAAGTAGCGGGAGATTTTTCATGCCCTTCAAATACTGAACAAGACAAAGGTAATTTCAAAGTGTGGTCAGCTATTATAACATTGCCTGGAGAATTAAAGTATTGCCCAATTGGAGAGTGCTTTAAAATAAAGTTGATTGGGCGCGTAAGAATTCTACGCAGAGATGTCTTTGGTTTTAGTTGCTCCTTATCCAGCTGGTACAAAAGACTGCAGGTGAAGCTTACTACATTTTCAAAAAGAATGATAAAGCAGGCATACATCCTAAAGTTGAAAATGCAGGCTAAAAATACATGTACTGTTCATAAAAGCAGATCAGAAGAGTATCTCTGGTCGCAGATCATGATCATATATTCCATGCCATGCTGACCTATTTGGGGGGATAATCCCTTTATTTTTGTGATATCAGAAGATATTTAAGTCCTGACTTAAATCTTATTATACCCATTGGCGTCTTCTTCAAGATGTGCACGGGCCATACATGCAAGATTTAAGGACTCTAAACCTGTTGGGAATACGAGGTAACTAATGACAACGATAGCAAATGTTTCTGCATTATTATCTTCTGGGCACTCTTCTAAGTATCACTTCCATTTAGTTCTCACAAAATGCATATGTGGTATACTGCCATATTTCACAGGTGAGTGCCCTAAGGAATAGGTAAGTATTGCAGATCAATCATGGAAGATTCAGGAATTGGGTCTGGTAGCCATGATGCCACGCACCACCTCCCACAACTTTTGCCTTAAGCATCCATAACATTGAAGTGGTCAGTGGTCACAGGTGATTAAGTAACCAATGTAATACAGACCTGGTAAGAAGGGAAGAGAGAGCCTTCTACTCCTCTCTGCAATTCTCCACAGGTTTGCCCCCAGAGCTCTGTCATAACTGCACCTGGAGGGAGGTGCTCCTTTCTAGAACTTAGTGTCTTCCTTTGCAATGCGAGAAGGCCAGATTGGATGTTCTTTGTCTCTGTCAGTTTTTCTCTTTGACAGTTCTGAAATGTTAGAGTTCTGTTCTCAGTTGTACTTCCTGAGTGCTGCCAGACAGGAATCCCTGGAGTGTGTCAGGAGAGTCATAAACCTTTTCTTGTTTAAAGGTAAGACCTCCTTCTTGGCTTAAACAAATCTCAAGGTGCTGGTCTGTTCAAAATGGGAGTGTTGTGCTGTCTCAGTGTTAACTGGCAGCAAGAGCAGCTCGTTCAGGAGGAAGAGACTTAGCTTAGGTCTTGGAGAAACGTGGGAAGGAAGTCACAACATAACTGTGGATGTCAGTCTCTTCTTTCTGTGACACCAGAGAGTATTCCAGGAGGGCCTTGATGGTCCTCAGGCAGCCTCTGGGAAGCACTGATGCTTCCCTCTCTGGCTCACAGAACGAAAACAGAGACATTCCACAATTATATCTTAGTGAGTGAAACATTAATGGATAATGAAAAGGCAGCAGAAAAAGTCCTCTCAAGGTCCTGCGTGGAGAGGGCTCTCCCACAGCTCAGAATCCACACTGGGGCTCCTCAAGTCCAACAAAAGAAGAGACAGAGAGCAGAGTTCACCTTATCAGGAGCATGAGACAAACCAGTTAGAGCACACAGTACTGGTTGCATATCTGATATCCGTCTACCCCTTTCCTCAATAGCAAAAGCTAAGTCTGGTTAAGGGAAGTCATGAGCCCAGCCGAAATAACTATATTTCCCATTCTCTCTTATAGTAAGAACTAGGCATGTGACACAGTCCTGGACAATAAGACAACAGTTTATGTTAGCTGGAATTTCTCAGAACGTTTTTCTTTCCCATAACAAACACCACCCTTTCCTCTAGGTCACCTCCTTCTTCCTCCTGTCAAGAATGCAAGTTGAGGCTTGAGATAGAACAAACATCATAGACCTTAAGAACAAAAGCCATAGATGTGAATTTAAAAAGAGGCTAGGTCCTTGATGATTTCTTCACACAGTGGTACCATCTTTGGACCACCTACCTAGATCTGGACTTTTTTTTTTTTTTTTT